GCCAATGGGCGAGCGGGGCCAGCCCCGACACCCGCATAATGCGACGCCCCCAGCCAATGGCGAGGCCTCGTTTTGTATACGGCGTCCCCGCCCGGCTTCCCGCCGCCCGCAGAGGAGGGCATTGTCCCTACCTCCGGGCTCATCTGCATAGGCCGGAGCTGCGCGCCAATGGGGAAGCCTCCCACAAGCGGGATATTTGCGTATTCAGGAGCCTCCCGCCAATCAGCTCCCTCGCTGGGAGTCCGCCTCCCGCTTGGCGCCAGCGCCCGCAGCACGTGCCCCGACCCCTTCCTTCCCCGCGGCACGGCGAGGTGGGGCAGCTTCCAGCACTGCTGCTTGCCGCCCACCCCTGCCCAAAGTGGGCCAGTATCGTTCTCCCTAATGGGCTCACATCAAGCCTAGCCAATGCTTCCCTAGGGGAAATGCCCTGCAATCACCAGCTGGCTTCCTAGTCGCACTCTGCTGGCATGAGGAGCAGTGCCCCTGTAGGTGCTGAATGCATGGTTAACCCTGACTTCATGGAAATAGGAGACTCCTCCCCATGTCTGACCTTTCTGCCACCTCCAAGCAGCTCCTTGCACCCGCGCAGCGAAGCACCTGGATGATATCCGGGGCTGTAGCATCGTGGCTGCGCTGCCCTGCTTCCGAAGGGAGGAAGGGGCCAAGGCTTCCCTGTGGTGCCGCCTTTCGCTCCGGCCTGGGCTGTGCGCTGAGTGGCTGCGTCTCTCCTAGCAAGAGAAAAAGCAATTCCAATTTGAAGGGAAACATTCAAACCTGGGAGGCGCTTCCCCGCTAGAAACCTGCAAACCTGAACCACCCCCTTCTGGTTTCTGGTCCAACCACTACTGGGGAAATCGCGGCACGTCCGGACCAGGCCGGCAGCGTTGGCAGGAGCAGTCAAACCTGTCCAAGGAACGGTGGGAAACACGTGCACAGAGAAAGCTGCCACACACCCGTGTGCAAAAAAATCCCACGTGGACCGGTGCAAAAGCTGGCGTGTGCACGCCCATGGCCGTGCGAAACCTGCATGTGCACGCCAGTGGGAGCAGATGAACCTGCGAAGCTGCATGCCCAAGCACACGCCGGCAAACACATGAACCTGCAACTACTTTGATGGGCGTACCCCATCACCCATGCACACGCCTCCATGCGTGTGCTCACGTAGACGGCTGGACGACCACGGGGCCTGCGGACCCTTGCAGGGGTCTAAACCCAGGCAGGCTTTCCCAGCTTGGCAGAGAAACCCCCTCCAGCTGCTCTTTGTTCTTGTGAAGTCAGCCTGATCCTCCGGCCCCGTTGCTGAGGAGGTCTTACACCTGAGCTGGGACACGGCCCCATCCTGCTTCTGCTTTTCACTGCAGAGGGCTCCAAGTCGGGGATTAACCTTCTGACAACAAAGAGCTCCGGTTTTTTGTTTTTTCTAAACTCTCTTAACTCTTAAAACTTGCAGGATGGCAACGCTGGGGAGGTCGAGGCAAGGGGCTGGGAGGGGTAGGGCAGGCAGGGAACGGGGCTTGCAACTCAGGAAGCCTCACTGAAATCAGGGCTCCACTGCGCCACGTGCTGTATGTACGTCACGTGAGACAGCTGCAGCCCCAAAGAACGCACGACCTGGAAAGAAAAATACAGCAGAGGGTGGGAGAGGAGACAGGGGCTTGCCCCCAGGTCACGCATGGGATTAGCACAAAGACCCCAGATCAACACTGCCTCCATGCTGGAATATGTCAGGGCATCCCCAAATCAGGAGCATCAGACCCCGCACCCCTCTCTGAACCAGCGTTTGGCGAACGCCTTCATTCAGAGACAGCCGACGTGGGACATGGGGAGACCTGCATGGGAAAGAGGGCAATGGGAAATGGCACAAGAGAGGAGAGCAGACCGCACAGAGCATCCGTGGGCTCCAGCCACATCCCTGGGCTCAGGTTGTTCGGGGAACACCCTTAGAAGGAAGCTTTCCACTCAAATGTAGCTGCGGCATTCGTGCCCGCGCTGGTTTGGGCCCCTGGTAGGCAGGCAGCTCTGTGCCAAACAGGCCGTCTCGGGTAACCAAAAGTCCAGAGCGACTGCGAGTGGCACGGGAAGCAAAGCAGGAAAGGGTTAATGGGAGGCATTTGGAGCTGGAGGTTTGCATTAGTTCTGCTGAGATTACGGGAAACCTCGGCGCAGCTGTTGGACGGCTCAGGCAAACTGGGAGGGGAGGACGGGGTGGGGGTAAGAACCTCAGCAGAGGCCGGGACCCCGCAGTCCTCGGATAGGAGACAGCAGCCCCCAGCATGAGCACAGCCCGGGGATCAAGCCAGTTCAGTCTCCCTTTGCGCCGGATCAGGATTGCCTTAGAGCCCCTCTCCGGCTCATCCCTGCCGTCTCGTCTCCCGCCGCATCCTGACCCCCGCAACACACCAGCCTTAATGCCTCGCTCGTCCTGCCCCCCGTGCAACCCCCCGCTCGGTCCGTGCAGGGAGATCCCTCCCTTCTCCGCCAGCGCACCGCTCGGGGTATCTTAACACTGTGTCAGGTGTAGCAGGAGGAACACTGTCCAGGGACATGCTTGCAAAGCAGGCCTGCCTCCCTGTCCTCTCACGGCCGGTGCAAGCTAAGAGCCTACTACTGCTGCCAACGTGTGAAGCTCTGCTGTAGTTGCCTGGGCTCGGGCACGGGGGTTCAGTCCCCAGATGACTGTCCCTGGGAGGGGCTCTTTGCATCCACAAACACCCCCACCCCCAAGGGCTACCTCATTGGGATACAAGCTCGTGTAGATCAGCTCCAACACTAAAGCCATGTCTCCATGGGACTTGAACTCGGACACGCGGGGCTTCCCCTGCATGCCCTGTGGCTCAAGTCAGGACCTCCCCTCTCAAGGGAAGTGCCTAAACCTCAGAGGCTGCTTTGACCAGGCGGGCAACTGTGTGACAAGGGGATAGGTCTGCTCCATGCCGCCCTGCCTCTGCCCAACAGCCTCCTCCCCAACCCCCGGCTCTCCTGGCAAACAAGGAACAAGCCCAATTACAGCAAAGACCAAGCTGACGCCAGGGCCCTGCTTTAATGAGGTTTCCACTCCGCAATTTTCCAGCACTTGACTGTGAAACAAAGCTGAGCCTGGAAGGGAGCTTATGCCTTTCTGTTCCTCCCCCGGCTACAGTCCTGCACACCTGTGTCCCGAAGGGCTGCTAATCTCCTAGTGCAAAAGCCTAAGCATGTTTGCTCCTCGAACCCAGCACCTTCTCCCCATCCCCACTCCTGGCTATGAAGCAACAGTAAAAAACTGTGAAGGAAGCTTTGGGTCAAGGTGGTGTGTTGTTACCCAGCTCCCAGTAGCACGGGGGTGGAAGTAGGGGGAAATTCATCCACTCCTTTTAGGTCCTGTGGCTACAAGCGATAGCTTGGGAGGGGAGGTGGGAAAGATGAGCAATGAAGCAGGAGGGGAGAAGGGCTGATGGGCTGAGCTACATGGGTGCTGCACGCTCCCTTCCTGCATGCGGGGCCAGACCTGCAGCTGGTACAAGTCCACACACTTCCATCAAACCCCCCAGCCTGATTGACACCAGCTGAGCATCCAGGCCAGGCACATCCAAACTGTTCCCACATCCTAATTTCCCTCCTCCCACCCTCGGGCTCGCCTCTTTCCAGGAGCTTTGGCAACACCCGTGTCTCAGAACCCCCACCACGAACAAGCTGCCTCTTCAGTTAGCGATGCTGAAGCCACTTTGCCATCGAAATGGGAGACCGCCCAAGAACTCCTTGGTGCTCCAGGGAGCAGGGCTGCAGACCCTGCAAGGGGCACCTCTGAATCAGTGCCCAGGCAGGGGATGGAGGGCACCGTGCAGCTGGTAGCCTCTGTCCTCGGCAGAGATGTCAAACCGAAGCCCTGGCCACCTGCGACCGTTAACAGGTCCATGGTGCTTCATTACAGGCAGGGGATTAGCCCCAGGCCCCTTGGCCAAATTCCAGCATGTCTAACCCACGTCCTCACTGTGGCTGCAGCTGGAGGCTCTTTGCTACCTACCCTGAGCTGCTGCCACGTGTCGCTCCAGAGGAAGCCACCAAGCAGTAGTGGGCACAAGCGGGTGTCACAGGGTGTATGTTCACAAACCACTGCAGTCTTACCCTGCAGGGGAAATACCAGTACCACCAAGGTGGTTTTCCTACTGGTGGGGAAAACCACGGACGTGGCAGGGGCAGTACCCTGACCGAAGTAAAGCATAGTTAGTCTCCCACTTTCACTTCCAGCGGGAGGATCTCGGCTACACGCCAACTTCACGGAAACGGGAGACGCCTCCCTAGCTTGCTCCTGCGGCCGTGTAGCTGAGGGCAAGCAAAACTCGGGGGCATCCAAACCCCAAGCCTCCAGGCTTGGGCTTGCGTGTAGGACGCCTGCCAAAGGATTTGGAAGTATCTGAAGCCCCAGGCGGGGGTGGAGGATGCTTGCCGGTAGCAGGGCCACATATGGTTCTTGAATGACTCACAGATTTGGAATTAGTGTGGCTGATTTGACTGGGAATGTAAAAAAATTTCCTTAAAAAAAAAAAAAAATCATAGAATAAAGTCTATGGGAAGCTCCAGCTTGAAGTCCCTGGAGACCTTTCCTTCTCTAGCAGGACCCGAGGGGAGCTATCCACGGCCATGAAGCAGCAAACGAAGCAGGGGAAGGGGGCGTGCATGCACACAGCGGTGGCTGCAGCTCTCCTGTACGGGGCTGGAGGAAGGAGAGGACCTGGGCAATGAGGACATGGGAGGGACGGACCCCACGAGAGCATTTCTTCCCACCCAATACACTCAACCCCCGGGACGGCTGGAGGGGAAGACAAGACGGCGCCGTTGAGCAGTCCACGGGCCACTGAGAAACAGCGATCGGGGTCCAAAAAGCCAGCAACAAAAAGCCAGCCGGCCCCACCTGTGAGCATTTAAAGGGAGAAACCACAAAGCCCTGACATCACAAGGCATTAAGCAGCGAGGGCTGCCCGGTCTTCCCGCACAGGAAGTCAGGCCTCAGGAATTTGTAACTCGCAGCTCTGCAGCTGTGCAGATGGTTTCCTCATAAAGCCCTGAACTGCAAGTGCCTCTGTCCCCTTCGGCTAACCTTTCACCTCCCCTTCTCCGCGCCCAGCCCGTGGCGGACAGGACCGCGCCGCCGCGGCCCCGCGCTGAGCCGATCCGTCACGCCTGTGCCCAGGGGCTCTCGAGGGACCGCGGTCTGGAGCAAGCAGGCTGTGTTATCACCGGAGCGGCGATTAACCCAAATTAGCAAATTGGTCGCTTCCAAAGGAGCTTGTGATTATTGCAATTGGTTGCGGGGTGGGGTGGGGTGGGGTGGGGGGGAATAAAAACCCAGCCTCAAGTCGGGGAAGCCGGCTAGCAGCGACTACAGTGTGGAAAGTCATATACCGCAGCAGACCGACATGCAGGCAGGAAAACCACAGGCTTTTAAATCATTCTCCTGGCCCTGAACCTCCCCACCTTGTGTTTCTTAGTTTGTGCGACTGTCAGCCTGCCAGGTTTGCTTCCAGCTGAAAAGCAAGAGCACAACAGAGCCGGCTTGTTTTGCAAGACCTATCTCCCCACAAGGAAGGAAAAGAGAGGAGAGCGCGTGTGTCAGACATCTGGAGAATGAAATACCCTCCCCGGAGTCTGGTTTCAGTGCTACGCACAAACCTCCTGGGAAACCGATGTCCATCCCGTATTTTTTTTCACCCCTTTGAACAAAAGATCCCGCCTTGTTGGCCAGCGCTGCTACCGAACACTTTGATGGTGCTCGCTGGCGCTGGGTGGGATCCGCGCCGCCAAGCTTTTAGCGGATGAAAAGAAAAATAACCCTCACCGGTTCCTCCGGGTTGGCTGGGCAAAAATGGAGGCTGTCAGGTCCAGTCTACCTCCGGGTGGTAGCGGCTAGTTCAATTTACTTGTAGGGCCCAAAGAGACGCCCAGAGGTTGGGTTTCTCCTGTGCCGGGTGCCCTCCGTGTGCATCGTCCCCTCTCTCGAAGACTACCTGGTCTGAAGAGGCAAGGTAGCATGCCCAGGGCCTTTCCTGCAAGACAAACCGGAGGTCCCTATTGAGCTGGCAGATCTAAGTCTAGCTCCTTGAGTGCAAACATCCACATCTGACATTACCGGAGACCCTCATGAGCTCCTCAGGAGAAGGGGAGCCATTAAAATGTGAGCTCCACCGCTGAAGAAGCCATTGCTACCCTTTCCCTTGACCGGCCGTGCCCTGGAGCGGGGCTATCCAAGCTGAGCAAAGCCCCTGGTTGCTGGAGGCCTCCTATTTATTTAGATTTATATCCTACCATGGTCAGAAAGGCTCGGGGCAGCTCTTCATGCTGCCTGCACTTTGTCAGAGCCAAATCTGAGGATTGGGCACGTGAACATGCAGCTACATCAGTAATTTAGTGTATGAATTAATGGTACCTCCACGATGCCAGGGTAACGATCCATGTGTATGCTCTTACCCCACAGTAAGTATGGAAGTGGAGTAGCCTGCCTTGCACTGGCCACGGGGTAAGAGCACACACGTGGGCAGTTACCACAGAGGAACTCACATTTTGTTAGTTGGCCTTGGGGTAACTTGTTCCCATGCCCAGATGCTTTGCATAGAAACTAAGTCAATGCCCAGCTATTCCATCACCTCGATGCAACGGTCACCGGGCCTTCAGCTACTTCATCATCAAAGCCAGGCACTAAGCAAGACAAGGCGTGGACCTAAGTAGGACTCCATAATGAACCACGGGGGTGACGCTTCCACCCCCCTCAACCATCGGCAGCCCCTGTCCTGCCTACAAATTGGATTCAGAGCAATAGATCTTTCTTTTCAGGGGTTTAGTCACAGGTATTGATTCCAACACTGTTTCCAGCCAGTTCTTCTAACCCTTGACCTGGGAGGGTCAGCCGTGTTTGGGCGGGAGGATAGGGTTACAGAGCTACCACTGACCCCTCCAGAGTCCCTCCACAAAGCCCCTGTGTTGTTGCAGATGACAATGCCTCTGCTTCATCCCCACTTGTCAAAGCAAAGCCAATTCCTCGTCCCACTCCCCCCACATCGCCTCCCTTCCCCACCTCCAATATTGCTGGACTAGGATGTAGGTGATGGGAAAGGAACCGGGGGCTGAAAGACAGAGGTGTCACACATTCCTCCGACGGGTCTGGAGCGGCACCCGAGGCAAAGGCTACAGGTGGAGCATGCACCACGGCAAGGCTTGTGCTGCTGAGAGCTTGCACGTTCATTAAGAGAAGCCCGGTCAGACAATAAAGGCCTCATTCTGCTCTGGCAGGGCAAGGGGAAAGCAACCTCCTTCCCCCGAGATGCGCCCTACTTGGGGATCCTTCCCAGGACACATGGAGCCGGTGACATGATCCCGGCATCCGTTCCTGCCTGGGGCAGGGGGTCAGACCTGATGATCTGTTTAGGTCCCTTCCGACCCTAAGTACCATGATACTATATATGATAAGAAGAGCCTGCACCCAGCTGTTGGGGTAGAGAGCAAATCAGAGTGGGTCAGCATTTTGCCTGTTTGCACGATAAGACTTTCAGGGCAGGGACTTTCTCAGGATAGATGCTGGCACAATACAGCCCTGATCCTGGCTGAGCTTCCCAACAGCTAGCATGATATAAATAAGAATTATGTGACATATAGGGTGTTAAAGACTCCTCAAAAGTTACAAAATCAAGCAAATAAAAGTGAGATGCTGCCAGAAAGGCACGGCCAGACAACTTTCATTCACATTCACTGCACCTATGTAATATAGACCCAGTCCAAGGGTCCTTCAAACGCATTAGACCGAGTACCTGCATCTACTACCCACAGCATGCAAGGGCCTGGCCTGGCCAGTTGGACCGCTGGCTCTCCAGCCAAAGACCCAGTGTGGGGCCAACTCTCCTTCTGTGTCCCCTCTTCTGCTGCTCTCCCCCATCCCACCCGCTGTTGGACCCCTGCCACCTTCCTACCTTCCTGCCCTTGCCTTTGACTCCCAACCCTCCTGGCCCTGCCCCAACTCCAGCCCATATTCCCCACCACTGCCCTCCAGTCCTGCCGTCCCCTTCCCATCTCCACGTTACCTCGGTCCTCCTCCGTGCCTGCCCACGTCCCCCTCTCCTAGCTCCTGGTCCTGGCAGTTTCTTCCCCCATCCCAAACATACCTGTTTTGGGGGTTTTTTTGCAGGACTTCATTCCTGACCCCTCTACGTTCAAGTCGGGCTCTTTCCTCCTCCGACTCCGTGCATCCAAGGTGCCAGCAAACAACGGGCGTTGAGAGCACAGAAGCAATGTGCAATGGCCTCGATGCCTCCAGGAGAAGCGGCTGCAAGGAGAGTCCTGCTCAGCCTGGGCAGAAGAAAGAGCAGTCCCTTAGCAAAGCTAGCGCTGGCCACAGAAAGGAGATAGCAGGAAAGCAAGGAACATCCCAAGGGGTGAGGAGATCCCAGGACCCAGCAGACACCAACCCGCCCCACTGAAGTTGTCAGAGGTGGGTCCTTTGGCTGAATGCAGGCAGGTTCCCACCAGGACGGCAAGAGTCAGGACAAATTTGCCTATAAGGAGCCCTGTGACCATCACGCCAAGACCTTTGATGCATATGCCTAGGCAAGAGTATGGAGGAGTGGAGTCTGCCCGAGACCTACCATCCTCCCTTTAGACCACTGAGACAGGATCTGGAGGCCGGACCGAGTCCAGATGTTCGGTGCCTCGATGGCTGTAGCTTCTGCCAGGGATCGACAGAGAAGAACAGCTGCTGCCTGCCTAATGCCCCAGCGAGCACACGCTTCTCTCAGGGTGATGCCCAAGGAGTGGGGTGCTAGGGTTTTGAGGCACCCTACTTTGGAGGTTGCAACAGTATGGTACTGTATAGAAGCTACCCCGCCACAACTAGCCCCACCACGTTGGCCCCAGGCCCTCCAGGCAGCTGGGGGAAAGGCTGATCTCGTGCCTTTAAAACAAGCAAGCAGCTGCACCAACCAGTGGTTGCTGCTATGAGCAATGAAGCTCCAAGGTCCTTCTAGACCCAGCAGCCCATCCGCTTAGCGCAGCTAAACCAGGCCAGCTCCTGCTGCCAACAACACCCGAGGGCCGGCACCAGATCCAGCCGTCTTCGAGCCCCCAGCCAGACACCCATAGACAGCTGGGTGGATTGGGGTGGCCTTTGGCGCAGGTCCTGGCGCTGTAGTGAGCAACCTTAATTGTTCAGCCATTGAACCCCGCACTGTGAACTGTAAGGCCGGGAAATCACGGAGGGGGGTGGGAAACAGACTGCTGAATTATTCATGGGATTGCAGCTCACAGGAAATTGTGGGGGGTTGGGGGGCTGTCTGGGATGCTAACGTGTCCTTGAAAAGCATGCACACGCATACACACGGCAGAGCTCCCCCATTCAGCCACGCTGCTGTGCAAGAGGCGCAAGCCCAGGATCGGGGCCCCATTGTCATCTGCTTCCTCACTGAATTTGCCAAGCTGTTTCCAAGTGCCTGAAAGCCCCCCTCCCCACCCTCCCACCTCCAAGGCAGGGAGCATCGCGGAGCCCCCCCACTCCCGCCCGCCACACAATTTCCCCTTTCATCCCACAGCTGCCAGAGCTTGGCTGGTGTCTCCGGGCCCAGCCGCTACAGCTGGTTCACCTTTCGCACAGACTCAGCAGCTTCCCATTTCCCCCCCAGCGCCGTCCCAGAGAAAATGGGTTATTTATGAGGGGCCAGAGGCAGGAAGAAGGGGGCCTGCAAAATATTACAGGGAAGAAATTCCTTGCGGGTGGAATGTGTGCAGGATAAATGGGGCTTTTTATGCCTCTTTTGTGCGGCCTGGGAAACAGGAGGTTTCTTGCACCAAGGAGCAAAAACGTTAGAGCCTGCTGGCAATGGAGCTCTCCCCACCAGCGCTTCCCGGCGCACCGGCTTCGTCTGCGTTGCAGCACTGCACCCCTCCGTGTCTGTGCTGTCCTAGCGCCGGCAAGTTGAGTCCAACCTCTCTCGATAGATCTACGTCTATGAAATCTATGTGCATGGGTAGATCCAAACAGCCCTGCACCCACTGCATCCAACCCCATCTCAGTATAGCCTTTATGAGAGATACCTTATTTATTTGGGGGGGTTAACTGAAATGTCATGTCTTGGGCCAAATCAGTTCTGAATGCGATGGACAGAGCAGAGCTCAATCGTTCACGTCTGTGTGGTGCTACCACCGGCAAGTCTCCTTTCTCCCAGACTCTTCAGTCTGGGGCTTCAGATACTCCCAAATCCATGGCAGGCATCTTGCATGCAAACCCTGGAGGTTTTGGAGTTCAGATGACTCCTAATCTCGCTTGCCCCAAGCCCAAGAAAGCCCAAGAGCAATCCATAAATTGTATAGCCAAGATCCTGCCGCTTGGAGGGAAGTCACCACATACTAATGCTATGCCTGCAAGGCATGGCCCGGGAATTGCAGGTGGCTCCTCCAGATACACCCATCCCAGAGTGCCCAGCGCTGCGGCTGGGACCAGTGTTTTGTGAGCAATTTCCAAAAGAGAGGCCTTGCAATGAGGGATGGGGTAGGGAGGTCAGTGGGAACTCCCATGGCATCCAGCCACACACGGTACCCAACTCCAGCTTGCACCTGGGCAAAGTCTTCCTCCCGTCGCTTGCAGCCACATGGCACAACCAATGTCTATATGGCAAGCCCCACGGGCCCCAGTCACTCTCCGGCTGCAAACTCATTTCATCCCCAACCGGCAGGGAGCAAACTCGTGGCTTCCCTGCTGCAAACTGCAGGGAAGCGGCTCTGGGTTTACATGGGTGCAGCCTGTGGAGCGGTCCCTGCTGCCCAGCATCCCGCCTGCCTGGCAGGTTTACCCCATGACGCAAGGCGCATGGCCAAAGGCCTCCCATTGTTCGTGCTTGATCCACTGAATCATCTCACCTGGCAGGCAGCTCCATCACGGTCACGCTCCCCTCCCAGGCTGCAAAACCAAAAGCAGTGGGGGGTGGAGGGGAAAGGGGTGCAGGCAGCGGGCACAAGGTGTGGGGGGGAGTCACGGGGCAAGGAAGCAAGGCCAGCGGGGATGGAGGCAGCGGAGGGGCAGCTCCACTCTGCTGCACACAATTTCCTTTCTGCCTGCTCTGCTGGAAGGCACCAGCCCCCTCACCGCACGACCCCCCAGCCAGGCTCCTCCAGTGTGCAAAGGGGTTGGGTGATGGATGAGACATGGAGCAGAGCTGAGCTGCTCACTGAGGCAGAGCCGTTGCTCTCTCCTGGGGGGGAACAGCTGCTGCCCAGCCAGCCTGGAGCGCTCTGCAGCACATCCTAGCAGCACACACGACACCGCTACCGGCCCCTGGCCCAGGTTAAAGCACCCCGCTCTGCTTCAGCGACCTTGGGGGACACGCTCTGTGGGTCCGCCATGCCCAAGTCCCACCCTGTGGGATCTGCTGCAACCCAGGGCAGGGGCACAGAGCTGGCACGAGGGAGTCCAAGCTGAGACGGCAGGAGGAGCATGAGCCGAGACAGGGCTGCGGGCTGCTCTTGGGCGTTTTCTCCCTTCTCTCTGGTACCTGGCAGAGGGTCTCTTAGACACCACGGTCAGCTGGGATACTGATGAGATACAGCAGCAGAGCTCCACAAGAGCCAACGGAGCAGAGGGGATGTGCAGCAGAGGGGGTGTCTCGGGTAGAGAGCTGTGCCCACGTGCCAACTTCTGGGAGGCTGGCAGGAGTCTAAGTGCAGCGCATATACAGAAGTGGCTGGCAGCGGGCATTGGCCGTGCCAGCTTGCACTCCCTCTAGGTTTGCTCCGACTCCCCTATGGACTAAGGACCATCTTTAGGGGTCAGAGCAGAGCTGAGCATCCACCAACCAGCCGGACATGGTGCTGGTCGGGACTCACCTCAGCTGTGCCATCTTGGGGGGCCATTTCTGCAGCCTGACCCTTGAACTCATCCCCCATGGGCCACCAAACAAGAAGGCTTTTTGGTGACTGATTTCAGCTAATGACAGAATCACAGAAAATGAGGGTTGAAGGGACCTCAGGGGGTCACATCCAGTCCAACCTCCTGCTCCAAGCAGGACCAGCCCCGACTACATCACCCCAGCCAAGGCTTTGTCTACCTGGGTCTTAAAAACCTCCAAGGATGGAGACTCCTCCACCTCTCTGGGTAACCCATTCCAGTGCTTTACTACCCTCCTCATGAGAAAGTTTTTCCTAATATCCAACCTCAACCTCCCTTCCTGCAACTTGAGCCCATTGCTCCTTGTCCTGTCATCTGCCCCCACCGAGAACAGCCCAGCTCCATCCTCTTTGCAGCCCCGCTGCAGGGAGCTGAAGGCGAGATGACTTGGATGAGAAGGGTTCTCCAGTCTCGTAAGCATCCCCGGCTCCCAAAGACCTGCTGCAAATGCCAAAAGGAGGCAGGAAACACGAGGCATCAGACGTCACTTGTGCTCACCCTGTTATGGTCTGGGGTCTGAGTGAGGGTATCCCATGGCCGTGAAGATGGAGCTGCCTGGGACCCATCCATCTTTTTAGTGCGATTTCGGAGCAGCTGGGAGGCGTCTCCATGGGATGCTGGTTGAAAACCTGAACCTCTCTGGCTCCCCTCCAGCCTCAGCTTGGGCTGGCGGCTCAGCACCTCACACAGGCCTGGGGGCAGCTGAGCCTCCATGCTCTGGATGAAACCCAATCCCAAGAAGGCCCCTGGACCTCCCACCTGATGAAGAGGCAGAAGCAGGGGTGGGAGCAGGGTCTGGATCCCCTCTCCAGATGGCCCGAGTCCGGGCTACTCACCTAACACCAGCAAAGCACATCACTGGGTAGGACTAGGGGGAACCCAGCTCCCCTCTGCTAGGGGTCAGCCAGGATAGACCCCCTCCCCACACCCCACCCGAGTGCTAAATGCTCCAGGATGGGGCGGCTCTAGGAAGAGCAGGAAGGTGCCCGCCACACATCTGCCTGGCAGGACTAAGGCTTCCAGCCATTTGCTGCTTCCTGCTGGCTCTGCTGCTTCTGGGCTCGCCCGGGCCAGCCTCCCCCGGCGAGCCTGGAAATGAGAAGCAGCTGGGAAAGGTTTATCTTGTACCTCGCGCGCCTCCTGTTGCACTGGGATCTGGACAGCGGGCGCTCGGGTCTGGGGCTAACAAAGAGGCTATTGAGAGCGGGCAGGGAGCGCTTCGGGGAAGGAGGGCTCGCTTTCGAGGAGGAATGAGATGTTCTCTCCAGAGCAATTTGTCTGCTCTCGCGGCACTGATACCATCAGCATGTGCTGCGAGCGGACGGCAGCGCCCCATCCAAGTCAATCGCCCCTAAGTGGCAGGTCTAGCTCTGAAGGAAAGTGGTGGTGGTGGGGGCGGGGGTCATCTATTCTCAGC